GTAGATGGTGATGTTCTGGAGGCCTCAGTTCCTCCTGGATTGTCTTGGACCATCAAAATAAACTAAGAGGATACACGTCATATAAAACTTGTGCCGTTGTTTGAATGGATGATGTTGGATTATGACACTTTCTCAGATCTGCACTGTGTTGGTGAGTGCTCTCCAATAAAGCCTTTCTATGTTTCCACAGAGCAGCTGTCAGCTGTAGTCAATCATATCCCTGACAGGAAGTTTGGAGGTAAAACCCTTTTCGGAGCTTTCAGCATCAATGAATTAATAATCAAAGTGGATGAATTTGGGCGTGTTTGTTTGAAGAAAAAACGATTTAAAACAAAAAGCCCGCAGCAGTCATTACCTTACAGTTTTGTGCATTACCCAGTCTTCATCACTAGGGGGCACTGTTGATACGTGACCGGGCGGGAGGCGTGCTGACGTGCAGTAGCATGTCCAACATTGCTCTTTGTGCTATTATGGAGACATTTTAATGATGAGCTAGAAAACATAACGTCTGTCCAGAGTTCAACATTTGGAGGTAATAATTCAGGAGAAGCTGGGTGACTCTCTCTGTCTGTTATCATTTTAATGTAATTACACACTTATAAAAATAAGCCTTTGACTTTATTGCGAAATCATACAAGCTTAATGAGCTCAGTCAAATGTCAGCGCCTTCAAAGTGGAACTCAGTAAAAGTCGAACTAATTTAATTGCTCGGTTATTCCCGGTGCCTTTTCAGGCCAGCTGGAGCTCCGAGGTTTATTTGGGCTTCACTTTTTCCAAACTAAGCCTCCTTAACATACTTCAGGAGGAGTTTTCTAATACTAAATAGAAAGATGGGTGACTAAAGGCAGTAATGCTCCACCATCAATACTCCTCATCACATCCAATTAAGTATTCAGTTCACTTTAGTACTTAAATTGGATCATGCATCTGTGATCTGAAGAAAAAAAGATCTTTCTCATCCCATTGAGCAAATTTTTAATTAGATTAAATAAAGAAATAAAAATCGTGATAAGGGTTAAGAATAATAAGATGTATGAGAGCTAAACTGGAATGTAAAACACAAACACAGAGCACAGGGCTACACTGCTGAGGATGATGCTTACGGGCTGTGACAGCAGCTCTGACACACATATTTTATACTGTGCATCTCTGGGCGTTTACAGAGGTTTGGGTGATGCACGTACATCATAATGTTTTGGATTAGAATAACCTATATTTAGCCAAGTTATGTCAAAGCCTGAAGAAATGAAATTTAATTATTTCAGCACAACATGTACATTTCAGCGGGGTGTACTGTGCAGCCAGAGCCGGGCTTTCTTTAGCTTTTTTAACAATCCCTGAAACCCCAGGCAGAGATGGTGGCGATCATATAGCTGGGGGGCAATGTTTGCATCATTTCTGTCTCCGATGGAGAGCACTGCCTCAGTAAATCATTCAATCATGTAGATTTACAAGTTGATATCTTTCACTTCATCCTCACTGTGCTCTCAGTGCTGTTTACTTCTAAACTTTACAGCATTCACGCCTGACGCTGTATTCTCGGCGGACACTCACGTTGAGCCCAACATATTCATGTCTGGCTTTAGCGGTGACCATCAGTGTTATGCATTTTGATTTGTCCCTTTCCTGATGCTGCAGTCATCATTTACTTTGAATTGTGCTAAAAATAAAAATAACATATCAAACGACTTGCTGTGGGTTCGTGTATGCATTTAGCATTGCACCATCACTCTCTCATACAAATATGGCGACTTATGCCTCCAAAGTACAGACGAAAAACCCCCAAATAAAAATGTTAACATTGATTTAAAGCAGAGAGAGGTTGCGTCTATCTACAGTTTGTTGTTTGATTATCTCATCGTGATGATCAGCTACAGCTTAGAATCAAGGTGCTCGAGCTATAGATCTGATGTTGATCCCAAACTGTCTTTTATGAGTCACTGAAGTCAGATGCAGTAGTTTCTGAGATTACCGCGGAAAGGCCTCCAGGCAAAAGACTTTCAAGCACTAAGAACTCGGAGGGCAGCGCGCGGTTAGCCGCGGTTTAGGACGAGTGCTGGCTGCCCTGGCACTGATGCAGCATGTCTGCTGCCATGATGACATTAAAACATGGGGGAGGTGTCAGGAACTTTTAGTCTAAAAACAGGGGCAGAGATGTTATTTAAGACTAGGGCTGCCACAAACGATTATTTTGATAGTCGACTAGTCACCGATTATTTTTGCGATTAGTCGACTAATCAGATCATCATCCATTGGAC